ACATTTTACCTGAAAATAGTACTTTTGTTGACGATGTTTCCTGTTAGACGTCCAGTTATAAAATGACTCCAATCATAAATGTAATTGAACTTATTGCGCATGCTCGGACCTGGTTTACAAACGACATCATAAGTAATATTTAGATCAGGTCACGAGTGCACCGAACGTGATCAAAGTCTCAGTGTCTAGCGTTTATTTATTATGAGCATTACGTACAGCCGCCGCTCAGTCTAGATTCACAATACCTAGCGGAACTATGTTGAACAAAAACCCTTTATCTTCGCTTCTAAATATAGCTTTTCATTATTGACCAACACAAAAGATGAAAAGAATTTATCATCCTTTCAAACGCAGCGACCGTCAAGTACCGGCGTCGCTTAGTCTAGATTCACAATACCTGGCGGAACTATGGTTTACCTAGTGCGTGTCGGACAAAGTAATCAAATCGCGTTCATTAAACAACATTGAAAGTCAAAAAGCCAGTACAACAGTTAAAAATTACATTTTTGTACATGGATGGAAAGGTATAAGATTTTATTTTTCAGCAAAACAGCATAAAATTTTAACAGAAAAATGCAAATTGTCTTTTGTGCAACATTTTACGATATACATTTTGATTTTTTCGCATCAAATGATAGACCTTCCAGAATGCTTCGAAATAAACCCTAGGTTCTCGATTCCATTTTTAGCCGTTTTCGAGTAATGGCCCTTTAACGTTTTTTAAACTATTTTTTCAAAGTTCATAAAACCCTTAGATTTATAAACCGTTTGAAAGATCTCTGCGAGTAGATACAGAAAATATATTATTGTATGGTTCTATCTCTTACCGTTTTTGAGAAAGGAGAGTTTGAATATGGCAGACAAAATCACTCATGCGTATAAATACGTATAACTTTTTTCGTTACTGGACATAACATAGGCATGTTGCATATCAAACGAAAGATCTTGACAAATGCTACAAGCTCGTACTGTCAAACCGAGAGTGAAATCACTCATGCGTAAAAATCATTAAAATAACTAAAATAAGCTTACCCCAGTCTTGACTCCTCGACTATCAAACTATTTATGACAAGTTACGACAGGTTTAAACTGGTATTGCTATTTTTGATCAGCCAATAAAATTGAAAAACGATGACGTCTTAAAATAGACAGCCTCGTTTTGAACCTACTCTTTTTCATTAACCAATGAAAAGTGGAGAAGGTTGACTGGATAAATTTTGACATAAAAAATCCTTTTTGTCTTTTATGCAACACTTTACGATATCGATTTTCAAGATATTTTTTTCATTTGATAGACCTGACCAAATGCTTCAAAATAAACCCTAGGTTCTCGATTCGATTTTTAGCCGTTCTTGAGTTATGGCCCTTTAGCGATTTTTAAACCAATTTTTCAAAGTCCATAAAACCCTTAGATGTATATACCGTTTGAAAGATCTCTGCGAGTAGATACAGAAAATGTATTATTATATGGATCTATCTCTTACCGTTTCTGAGATAAGAGAGTTTGAATATGGCAGACAAAATCACTCATGCGGAAAACGCTCATAACTTTTTCGTTTATGAACGAAACATAGCCTTGTTTGGTATCAAATTGAAGGTCTTGACAAATACATTTTAGTCACGCGATCAAATCGGATGTTAAGTCACTCGTGCGTAAAATTCATTTATTCTCCCCAACCAACGGACTGATCTTATCAATACCTGTATCGAACGAAAGGTATTACTCACTTTATTCAGAAAATGTATATTTTGTATCGCTGACTAGGATAGGGCACGAGATATGAAGTAAAATTCAGTAAGATTTTCGCCTTCCTTAGTCAATATAACCTGGTCATGTTTGGTATCGTACGAAATGTTTTAAGGCGATCTTTATGAATACGGACTTAAAATCACTAGTGCATAAACGCTCTATTTCTATCAAACATTCTTCATTGAAAATACTGTACTTGAAATATAAACTCAATTTACTTCGTAATGATGTTTACTCTTTGACGTCCAATCACCAAATGACTGAAGTCATCACTGTGATACATTATACGCATGCGCTGATTTAAATTAAGAAATAACATTGTCCAATCAAACAGCAGTTTCTCTTTTTTACGGACTGAATGTAACCAATCAGAGAGAAGAATTATTTGACCAATCAGATTTTAATACGTGTGTATAAAAAAGAATATGTTTTTCTGCGTGTATTTTATCACTGGAAACAGGATCTGTCATCGCCGCTGCCGCCGCCGCCACCGCCGCTGCCGCCACCCTCACACCACCACAACCACCATCGACGATTTTATCCATCTTGGTATGAAATTAAAGGTATTTAAAAAAAACTTTCAGATTCTGTCGATACTCAAGTTTATACAGGAAGTTAGAATCACTCATGCGTAAAAAATATATATTTTTGTATTGAAATCATTATAATTCACTTATTTATGATCGATTTCAATGAATTTTATTCAAAGGTCATGAAGTCATGAGCTAAAAATAAATCGCAATCAAATGCTTGAATAAAAAGTTACTTTTTAAAGAACGCGGTACCTAGATCATTGTCAATGTTGGCAGTATGTATAGGTGTTCCTTTCCGGGTGTATGACTGTATTGTGGTCGATTTTCAACGCAAATGTTTACATAGAATGAATGATCTGTTTCATGTATGGTATCCACGCGCAAAAGAAATAGGACAGAAGAATGGATTGTTACCTGTACATATACTGGTTCATGTAAAGTTGACACATCCCCATTTTCTATATTCAATACCTGTATCCGATACAAATATGAAAGAATTCGTTCACGAAAATGGACAACAAATTTCTAAAGTTATTGATCATATTCACAGTGTGTTGGAGAAAAGAAGCTATATCTTGAGAGAGAACAGTTTACACTGAAAACGACATACATAAAACCCCATTATGTAAAATGATATATAACTTTGTAATTATATATGTTACCATATAGAAAATAAACATATTTGACTTGAATTAGTATTTGTCTTCTTTATATTTTAAGCGTATCAATCAATTACATTTACATGGGATCATTATACATAACAAGGCAATATTTTTCTTTACAACCTTTTATTGGGTACCTTTACATTCATTATACATGAAACTAAAATAAAATCGAATAAAATCGTCATTCCATTTCCTGCATTGCACATCAAAATGTGTTAAAAGGTCCTTTATGTTTCTAAATATGATGTAATATACACAATATAGACCGCATATCTTCGAATTTGAATCCTGTATTTGACTGCAATTCATCCAGTAAGGCTTTTATCAACGATTGCACAGAGTGAACAGTATACTGACTGGGTCGTTTACCCAATGAATTAAAAGACTCGTCTGGTCCATGACCTAATGTTTTCAAGATCCTTTACTCGTGTTTGTATTTGAAAATTCTCCTCTACTTATTTGAATTTATCTGGTGTACACACGGTTACGGGATATTTATTTAGCATTCTTCCAAATCATGCAGTTCGTTAGTTTGAGCTTGTAGCATTTGTCAAAACCTTTCGTTTGATATGCAACATGCCCATGTCATGTCCAAAAATAAGGGGAAAATCGTCATTTTACGCACGAGTGATTTTGTCTGCCATATTCAAACTCTCCTATCTCAGAAACGGTAAAAGATAGATCCATTTAATAAGACATTTCCTGTGTCTACTCGCAGAGATCTTTCAATTGGTACATACATCTAAGGGTTTTATGAACTTTGAAAACATTGGTTTAAAAACCGCTAAAGGGTCATAACTCGAGAACGGCTGAAAATCGAATCGAGAACCTAGGGTTTATTTCGAAGCATTCTGGCAGGTCTATCATTTGATGCGAAAAAAATCAAAATGTATATCTTTAACTGTTGCACAACAGACGGAAAACGTCTTTTTCTGTTGTATTTTCGCTCGGTTTTAGTTACATTGCAAATATAATTTTTCACATTCATGATGATCAGTTTTAAAAACATGTTGGCATTTTCTTTCCAAAATGAGTTTAAACTAATGCCCCAGTGGTATACTGACAGTTCAATAGCTTATTGCTTACCCGCTTTTACTTTAGACGGATAAACTTTGACAGTTGAATGGAGCATTGTCCGCATATCCGTTCCTAAATAAACATACGCCAGACCCAGTGGCGACTATAAAGAGATTAATTTTGACAGTTGAATAAACCATTGTCCGCACATCTGTCCCTAAATAAACATATGCCAGACACTGTGACTACGAACACGTTTGATACACTCGTGATCAGAACATTTAGAAATAATACACTAATGATTTGTGTCATTTGGTTTTGGACCGCCGAGGAGTAAACAAGTACTATTTTTATTCAATGTATATTATTTATTTTGACCATATTAAAAAAAAACATTAGCAATTTGTATGTTTTTTTAATTCTAGTTTATTTGCTTTTATTAATTAAAATGTTAAGCAGGTATTTATTTACAGACATTTCTTTTATAAATGATGATATTTATCTCTCTGTCTAGGGCCGAGGACCTGACCTTCAATGTCCGCGATTCAAGCCCTTAGATCATGTATACAAGTCAGCTCTGTATACTTCAGGGAGATATATTTTTGTTCACGTTTCTATTTATAACGTGATGATGTCATTCTTAAAATAGAATCCAAAAATGGCCACCGCACATTTGTTATTCAACACGTCCGCCGCGCATGTGTAGTGAGGTCATTTCTTCTGTGCAAATGAGTGACTATTTATAGAAAACAAAATGGTCGCCGCGCATGCGCAGTCTTGGGGCTAAAGAGACGCCTATACTACTCTCTAATAATCAAAGTGTGTTTTATGTTACTTAATCTGTGTAAAACCGCGTGTAACTCAGTCAGTTATCTTAAATAAGGCATCGGTATCGGTGTATCGTGTGTAAATGTGAAGTGGCTTGAAGCACATCGGGCCAAGAAGTTTTTGATCATACCTCTTACAGAAATTGTAATGACAATATTTTAACTCCATAGCAAGTAAATAGAATTATTTTGATCATAACAGACTAACCTTGTGATCGTCTAAACAATTCTTCAGCCTTAAATAGAAAGAACATAAACATAAATGCCAATGCAAATAATAACATGTATAATATACTTTGAATAAAATATTGAGACAAATTGATAAAATGAAATGCCGTATTTTCACTGTAAAATTATTTTTCACTGCAGTGAAACATATCTGTATTTTCACTGGTGTTTTCCGTACTACATTCTTCATATTTTAGCCAAACACATCATTAAAGAAGAATTCGTAAGAATTGTAAGGCCAAAAAAAATGAAATGAAAATTAAAAAACAAAATTTCTATAAATACAGGTTTTATTTTCATCTTGATTTTTTTGAAAATTATCTTATTTTACGAGTGGCGGTAGCATTGTTTCCATGCCACTCGATGAAAATAAAACCTGTTTTAAATCAAAAACTGAATATCACTTAGTTACCAAATTGAAGATATTGTAATGAAATTTTGAAATTATTCAAATCATCAATTTGTCAAGTTGACTTGGGTAACGGACGTTAGCAGGCTGATCAGAAATTATAGTCACAAATATGAAAATATGACTACAAGGTTAAGTTAAATTACAATGTCAACGTTTCATATAAATAACAGAAATTTATAGTGTCAGTATTTTACAAAAGATAAATTCGACTGAGATGTATTAATATGTTTCAATATTAGAAATATTTGACATAAATATATGTAAATACTGAAATAAAACGTACTTTGAAAGCATTGACCTTTTCTTGAAGATGTAATGTTTCGTATTTATCAATTCTTTGCTGAATGGCATCACTAGACTTCGAGTCAACAAGCTCAACCACTCTCAACAAGATAGATTTGATATTTGCCCACGTTCTTTCATATTCTGTCTCTGGCAATTCGGTATCCGCCCGATGACCTATAAACTCATTTCTGATATCCCTTAATCGAAGAAGATCAACACCAAGACTTTCGTCCTCCTGTTGTATTTTGTCTTTACACAAATTTAGTATAAGTTTCAGCAAAAGAGAAATATCGAACTCCTTGAGATCTATTTTAGAATGAGAAACAAGATCATGCTCATTCTGGTCTATGACAGGTTTTTTCCTTTCCCGTAGACTCGACAATTTATTTTGCTGCTCTGGAGATAAGAGAAAGCCTTCGATGTCTTCACTTTTTATCAAATGTTTGAACACTTTAAATAATACCTCTTTTGTCAGATTCTTATACATAAGAACAGTTCTAACGTAATACGTCGTCTCTTCGGACGTTTCACACATGTTGAATTAGAAATTATCATAATTGCATTGTAAGAAAATAAATGTCTGATATATATCCTCCATCACCAAAAGTTCTGAAAAAAGTTTAAATAAGATACTTTTCTTGTTGCTAAAATATATGTCAATTAGGATCTTAAGAGTATAACTGATTATATTTCTTATGATTAAATGGTTGATTTCATGACAGTCAAACATTTTTTTTTTCGTTTAAAAATGCAAAGACCCGAAGTCACTGACGTTGTTCGAATCATTTGAAAGAAATGTTTGGACATTTATTCTCAATGTCTTATAAAAATTGCAAACCAACATTGACAGAAATATCGCACATGTTTTGTATCGAGCAAGCAATGGTGTATGGACTCAATAATATAAATCTTGAGAAAGTGTGATCCCTCGGAAACATTAATCACAACAAAATAACATGAAAATTGCAAACTTGGTTTGATTGAATCTGCACAATAAGTTGAGTTTCACGAACTAACAAATGCGATATGAGAATTTAACACAATACTCTAAAAACTATAAACAAAACAGAAACACTTTTGAAGGTAACCACATATTAAAGTACTTTTTCTTCTTCTTGTTTTTATTTATTTCTTAATCATCTTTTCGTGTAATAGATCAACTTATATTCAATATCATTAATAAAATAGGCAAAATATACAAAAAGATATGGGTAAAATAAAAAAGACCGAAAAGAAATACGGAAAAGTGTCGCAATTTGCGGTCCAGGGTCATTAAAAACCATTTGTTTGTACAGAAATAAGAACAAGTCATCATTTTAAAATAACCATTAATTATGTTCCATATCATTCATTACATTATATTGGCCAGCATTTCTTATTATGGCCGTATTGACCATTACGCCACCAGAAAAGGGGCATTGAAATGTATTCGTTTATCTGACGATATACTAATAATATTTGCGAGGGCTTTCTCCGGAGTGTTCAAAACTTTGTATATTTATGGTTGATAACGAAAGGTGTTGTGGCGCAGTCTACAGGTGGTACTGGGGAAGGTGGGGAGGGGGTAGGTTTCAGTCTCCATAATATTCTTTTAACATTCTGTATTACAATTTTCTGTGTTGTATAATATTCCGTATAAATGTAATAATTGTTCATCTTCGTATTTACAATGTATTTAAAAATCCTTTAGTTATCATAAACACATCTATGCAAGTCCATTTTTCTGATTTTAATATAGTTTCTTTTTTTATTAGCTCACCAGAGCCGAAGGCGTCCGTCGTCCCTCGTCATGTGTCAACAATCATCTTCTCCTCTGAAACCGCTGGACAGATTTACTTCAAATTTGGTCAGTAGCATCCTTGTGAAAGTCACACCTAAATTTGCTCATATGATTTCAATTGGCCTCTTTTAGGGGTAAAGAGAGCTAAAAATAGAAAATCCTTTAGACATCTTCTTCTACAGAACCAATTGATGGATGATCACCAAACTTTGTCTGTAGCTTCTTAGGTAGTCTTTTATCAATTTTGCTCATATTAATTTGATAGGCCCCTTTTAGGAATCAAAAAGGCTAAAAAATATAAACCTTTGGACAGCTTTTTCTACAGAACCAATTGATGGATGATAACCAAACTTTGTTATTAGCATTCTTATAGAAATCTTTAATAAAAAAAATCCTCTTATTTATTTGCTTGGCCCCTTTTAAGGACTGCTAAAGCTAAAATACCCCAGACCATGGCATTTCTTCAAATAATAGTTTAATGAAAGGGAAACAACTCATGTTTGAATGTCTTTCATACATGTGACTGACCTGTTTGCTGATGAAATCATTTGAGGTCATGACCTTTGGCAAGAGAAATAACTTGAGCAGATTATACAGGATAATATAAGGACTAAGTATCAAGCGTTTTTTGGTTTCATTCATATTCACTTAATTAATTCACTACATGGAGTGTTTTCTCTAGAGAGCGTTTTCTGCGTTTTTGACGCAGTTCTTTTGCATTTGACACGGTAATATTTTAGGCTTGCGTTTTCCGTGACGCATATTTTTGCGAGCGTCGTAGTATATATTTTTTCTATAAATAGCAAGAATTTCATCACCTATCGGTCACATAATTTATCTTAGACGCTTAAGTGATTATTACACGTTAAAAGCGCTCAGACGTTTCAGATTTTGACGTCATTATCCGGGTAAATTCACAGTGTCTGCTTCAAAAAAAAGCAGCGAAGATTGACTTCATTCTTCAATATAGACAATGTAAATGTTGATGGGGCGACATAATCTACCGTAAACAACTCTGCGCCTATACCAAGTGAGGTTTCCCAACCAAATCAATCGGCGAATGTTGAAACAACTGAGAAATCCAAGCAAAGTGATAATGCTCCGAAGCGAGTTTTTCGTACCGAGTGGCTTGAAAGCAACTTTTGGTTGCAGTATGACGGTAATAAAATGACTTGCACAGTTTGTATGATTGAAAATAAAGACAATCCATTCACATCGGGATGCACAAACTTTTGAGCATTTGGAACTGCCTCGGCTATTATCTATAATAACCTCGGAAACAATACGGATTGAAAGTAGTTCTACCACGCAGTTTCAGATGTAAAAAGAAACAGACATAATGTAAAACGATTGTATTAATTGACATCTTATGTCTATTCCGGTAACTCTTGTGCTTGAAAATATGTCTAATTTAAATATGCCCACTGATGTTCAATTTTAAATTGTTTGCTATTGTACCGTATGGTACTGGTTACGGGAGTTGACGGAAGTTAACGGAAGGTTCCGGACCAACCGGAACTAGTGTGTTAGGCTTGACAGTTGGGCGCCATATTAGTGAAATTTATAACTAAAAGAAGTAGGCAATTGATCCAGACGTGGAAAGTAAGTCGATTGTTCGTATTGTCAACCCTTTTATGAGCAATCGCGACAGTTCTATTTTGGTGGCAGCTGTTATTTTTACCTATTCCGTTCCGAAAGATAGACGCTACCAAAGCTCTATAATTTTACCGATTGTGCACGAATTTGCCCTCAAATAAAAAGTTTGTTGTCCCATACTGTAAACCCCATACATATTTTGTATGTGACATTTTGTGTATTTATTCACAAAAGTTCAATTCAAAAAAATGTTCATCAAAATTAACCCTGCTGTAGTGGTCATTTATTCTGCATTATTTTATTCTACATAGTCTCATGGGAACACACTTGCAAAATAAATATTTTGAACAAAGCCTCCAAAATATTAGGGCAAAATTTTTCAATAATTAGAAGGGCAAGTAAAAGCTGGACTGGTCTTTCAGCAAGTTCATTTGAAAAATAACACTGAAAAACAGTTGTTTCTGGTGAGCGGCTAAGGGTCATCATGGCCCTCTTGTATTTATATTTAGACCAACAGTTCCGAGCGGTCAAAACAACAGATATATATGTACATGTACATTAAAATGTACCGCAGAAAACTGCGGCACCAACGTTTTTAACTTTAACAGTTATATGTTAACTGTATGACAGTCTGAATTCTTCTCTTTCTGTCTCTTTCTTATTAATACCATAATAATTTCACAAAAGTTTAAAAAAAGAACAAATGAAATAAATGATCCTTAAATAAGAAAACCACTGAAAATTCATTTTATCAATTATGAAATTATCGATTTGACCAATCGGAATGGTTCGATTAAGACTGATTAACGCGCTAGATTTCAAAAGCCACGCAATGTTAATTCCTTCCTTTAAGTCAAACAGATAATCAGATTAGAAAACTTCAAATAAATATGTTAGATAAAATTAATGATAATAATCGAGTTGTCATACATGTAACGTAAATAAACATAAATGTGTCAGACCCGTAAATTGCAATAAACATGTCAGCGGTCGTGCTAATTGATAACTTTATATTTCTCAATTTCAATAATTTAAAAACATTTCCTAACGTAATCAAGATAATATGATAATTTCACGAACAGAAATTCGAAAGAATCAAATGAAAAAAGAAATCCAGCATAACACAGGTCCAATCGCGAAGATCGGTCACCAGGAAGAAACTGAGCATTAATTCGGAGTAACCAGCAAGATTCCCTGAATCAAAATTAATACAACATGCATTGGATATTGTTATATCCTTCCTTACTGTAGTCTGCTATTTATAACTATATTGCATGATGGGTAATACTGTACTGAACTTCCGGTAAAAGATATAACATGTCTTTCTAAATAAACGTAGTTAAAATCAATGTGTATCTTATAATGTCTATACCATGGACATAACATCTGGCGACGAGTATATCAAAATATGTGATTAACTGTTTGGGAATTATTTAAATATAAACATTTTACTTGTTTAAGGATGAATGACGAAGTAAACTAAGTAAAACAATAAACAACTTGCCACATTTTCCAAGTTTCGATCTTGAACGGACAAACATTCGAGGAGCAACGGTGGAAAAAATGAGTGTACGTTTGGATTTAGTTATTCAAGGGATGTTAGTGGACGGGATGATGACAAAATAGAGCTCTATTACACTACGCCGAGTGAAAAGGGTTACGATATTTATAACAAATTTTTGAGAAGAGGACGAAAGAAAACATATGACGCATCAAAGAAAGTGGTTAGTGACTATTTTACGCAACAGGAAAGAACACGATTGAGATATACATTGTCGAAATATTAAAAAAAAAAAAAAAAAAAACAATGGAAAAAAAAAAAAAAAAAAAAAAAAAAAAAAAAAAAAAATCGTAGAAGGAACAAGTGTACATTCAAGAAACCGCAGAACGCGGTGAGTTTTCGGGAGACTGGCCAATCCTATCAGCGCGGGAATTATCGGCGCGTGTTGCCAACCAATAAATGCATGAAATTGTGGGTATGAATTTCCCCACAAGGTACCCCTTGTCCAGTGAAAGTAAAACCCTGCAACAAATGCTCATCAGTTGGCCACTTTGTGCGGTGTTTTCAGAAATCAAAACGAGGCAAAGTAAACGAAGTAAGCCGTGAAGAGGATTTACAGTCCAATTCAGAGGAAGAATGCCTCTATAACATAACAGCATAAAGTGTCGAAACGAAAACAAAAGGAAAACGCCTCAAACAAAAATAACAGCAAATGAGAAGAAAATAACAGCA